CGTAGGAACTATTAGCTCACCCGAGCTCATTGTGAGGGAAAAGTTCGTTAGTTAAGCGAGTGGACGTATGAATGAATTGTGGTGGTAGTATAAATGCGTGAATGCTTGTTATGGGGCGAGCAACGTTACCTCTCTCCTTCCCCCCCCCCCCCTCTTTCCACTCGGTGGAAACTGACGAAGAACTCTTGCAGGAAGTTTCCCACTTGAGTTTCTACTGCCATCAAATCAAATCTCATTGTGACTCGGCTTGGGTCATCCTACACAAGAGAGGCGGGTTGATAGAGCTAAGACAATAGCTCAGTGACATTATTCTCGTCCATAAACCTTTGGATACTATACGCGGGTGCCCCAGACATCACAGGAGAAATTGGAATAAATGCCCACGGTCCTTTCCTGTGGAGGAGATTCTCTAGTTTATGAAGCGGCGAATCCCCCCTCAAAAAGGGGGTAGCCCTCTCAAATGGGAGACGAGAACGATCTAGCTTCCTGGTTGTCACATCTCGATTTGAAACAGCTCAGAATACATGTGTTCAGTCAAAAACATGTGTTAGATGATGAGGCGTCATGAGACATGCCTCTCATTACGAGAATATCTTCTCTCTTCTACATGAGTGGAAGCCTGAGGGAACTGCTGCTTCCCCAGACCATTGAAAATTTGTAATAAATTGCTTCCTACTTGATAATAAAGGTAGAAGTGTTCCGACTTCCAGCTCTCATCTAGAACTGAAGGAAACAGTATCTTAGGATGAAGCCTGTTGCAAATACTGGCATCTGAAGTCGGTAGACTTTATTTCAGCAAATCCTCCTTGAAGCAGGAACCTGAGGAGCTGGGGCCTCAGATTGCAGTAAGTTTCCAATCATTGAATACGTGCTAAGCTGTGCCCAGGCCCGGGGACCATCTTACTGTGAAACAAAGAGACAGTGGTTGCCGAATCTTGGGTTTATCGCGTCCATGAACCTTATACTACTCCAAGAACTAGTGCAAGTGAAACAGCCAAGCTAACGTGTTTCAATGTCGTTTTCTCGAATATAATCATAGGGAGAACTGAAGTGTTACTAACTCTCTCCCTACCGTGAACAGTTTCATTGTTGACAGCTGTCAACAATGAAAAACAGAAGAATGGAGGGAGATTCGAAATGTAGTTCTGATAGGTAGCAGGTCTAGCGCTGTACCACTGGTATTTGTTTTAAGCCTCTTAGCTCAGACAGCACTTCTGTGACATGTTTGCTGACACGACCTGTTATGACCACAGTTAGAATCCCTGCCCATTCTTCTGCTTATTCATTGACAGTCGTTTATTATAACTTATCTAAAATTCATTGAATATACATGGCTTGAAGGAGTATAAAACTCGATGTACTATAAAAGCTTCTGGGGCTACAGGAAGAAACATTTGGGTAATAGCTGGTGACCTCTGATGTAGACTTTTTCACAGAGGTTATGTCTGCGAAATTTTCATATTGTTAGCCTTGTAGCTCATTAGTACAGTGAACCACCTGGACCACCCTAGAGACGAGTACCACTGGTTTGCTGGCTCTGGAGTACTGCACTTACTAGTACTCTTCTTATCATTTACAAATTATATTTGTAGTAGTTTATGTTCGTAATATTGAAAGGATCTTTCTCTTGCGAGTTGTTGTTTCGAAATATTTAGTCAACTTGACTCTAAATCATAATTTAAAAAAAATATATATAGTGAAACCAGGAAAGGGTTAATGGTTTAATTTTGGTTAAGTTTGTGGTCAGTCACTGTGGAATAATAAGTCATAACTGCTATGTTTTTGGTCATGTTTTAAGCTTGGTGGCCGGGGCGGGCTTGCCTGTCACCCTCACCTTAATGAAACAAAGAGCACAAGTTGTGGAGGCGGCCGCAGCGTTGCAACTTGCTACCGTCCTGATTAGTCATCACACTCAAGTCAAAAAAAAAATGTTGAGTTTGCTGATTGGGCAGTGCATTTCCGGATAGCAATTTAAATTTTAAATAATAATAATTCAGCTATATGTTGTTGTGTGATATTCTCCTCGCTTACCGATGCATTTACACACTCTGGTGAAGTGGGGAGGTTTCTTGTTTGCACTATGTAGCCACTGTAGGCATACGCGGTTATGGGTTATTTGTTCTGCTGAACTTTGATGCCAATACTCTTCCTAGAGGAGAAGGAAGGCTATTGTTTGCACGTTGTAGCCACTTTTGGTTAAGCAAGAATGTGCAACTCAGCTCACTACCATGACATCTTACTCATTATTGCGTCATAGTATAAATGCGGACACTTCACTAAGATGTTCGTAAATGTACAAATGTGTGAATAAACGTTCAGAGAACGTCTCATTGAGTCAGTGTAATTTATAACATTACTAACGGCGACTACTTACAGAGTTAGAATCTTTAGAGTAATTTTTTTTAACAGACCGGCCGTCTGCCATCGAGGCAAGGTGTCCCGACAAAGAAGGAAAGATAGTTTTTCTTCTTTTAACATTTAGTAATTCATACAGGAGAAGGGGTTACTAGCCCCTTACTCCCGGGATTTTAGTCGCCTCTTACGACACGCATGACTTACGGAATAAGGATTATAGAAGGTTAACGTTATAGTTAAATAAAAAACGATGGAAGAAAAAGTAAATGGCACATTGTGAGAATATTTGATGACATTATCACTTTTACGAAGCAGATTTATTTTTAAGTGAAATAAAACTGTAATTTAAGTTCTTAAAGTATGTAGGAGCTTCAAGACGACACTGAAATCTCTTCTTGTGGTGCCACTACGATAGTCGCTACGTACCAGCCGCCTTCATCAGAAATATCATTTTTATTATTAATAATAGTAATATTATTATTATTATTATTATTATTATTATTATTATTAGTAGTAGTAGTAGTAGTAGTAGTAGTAGTAGTAGTAGAAGTAGTAGTAGTAGAAGTAGTAGTAGTAGTAGTAGTAGTAGTAGTAGTAGTAGTAGTAGTAGTAGCAGTAGTAGTAGTAGTAGTAATGTTCTAAATTCGTACAATTACCAACACCCAAACCGAAGTCAGTATATTAATTCATTTTTTCAAAGTCCTAATACTCACTATGTGAAACACCAGTGTAGGAAACATGGTAAATACCTGTGAAGGCTACATGGGGAACACCAGTGCAGGCAACATGGGAAATACCTCTGCAGGTAACATGGAAAACACCTGTTCAGGCAATACCGATAAGAAGAAATACTAAGCAGGACTACACGGAATCACACCAGGTCTATTTTAACGCTAGTATATAAAAAAGATCAGTGAGAATATAAGACGACATGTTTGTCATGCTGATTGTCAAGTACTTTACGTATAAAATCTCTCCCGAAGTCTTAAGTCCATTTTTCTCGACGATATAACATATGAGGGGAAAAATACGGTCCATAGATCATATACACAGAGAAGAGTATATTTTTCAAAGTATATTAGCTAATATTTTACAGTAATCACTTTTTTAGATATTAACGTCTTCCTGGTAGTGTACAAATGATGTGCATGACGCGAGCAATCACATGTTCTGAAGCTCGCCATGTAACACACAGCCCACATTACCTACAACACAAGCTCGAAGTGGCAGACAGCCGACATTACTGAAGAAAAGACACGTAGATTTTTTTTCGGACAACATTTTGTTCTGCTTAGAGCTTTAGAAGTCTTTCGTGTAGCTCATTGTAGAGTTTCACCAAGTCATACGCATCGTCCTGTGTAGAGCATTATTAAATCATACAAGTCACATGGTATGACTTGATAAACCTCTAAACCAGGGATTCTCAACTTTTCCTCCATCGTTAACTCCCTCGGCTTGATGTATTTCTCCATTTACCCTCTAACTTACCAACAAAAAAATGATCGCCATCATAAAGTGAGAGAAAAACAAAGTCAGAAAAAAATAAATTATTCAATTATTAAATTATCACGTACATCAAATATTTACCCCTTGCCATGTAAATTTTTACCCCCAAGGGGTAAGTTGACCCCTGGTTGAGAATCACTGCTCTAGATAGAGGAGAAAAACGATGACCCATCGAAAACATGATCATTAACGTACCTTTTCTTCACCTTCAGTACAAATGGGTTGCTGAACACGCTCAGTAAGATGCTGTACATCTACCCATAAGAAAAAAAAAGTGGGGCCAAAATACTGCAAAATAATTGATAAACACTCTTGCATTATATGGCTTGTGTGCTTAGGTTTGACCCAAGAAAGGGGACGATAACCCTAATTCCTTGGATCACGAGCACTTCACGGACATCATGGGATATGCAATGAAGGGTTTAAGTCTGAAAAAAAATATTTAATATATCTGTAACTACATTTGTCTGCATTTATGTAATTCATGTATAAAAAAATAATTAGAATTGTGAAAATGTTAAATTTGAAGAAAAATCTAAATGTTATTTCTGCCAAAATTGTATAACAATAAAAGTTTATCAGAATATAAGCTGATATTACGCTTTTAAAGTTCTGTAATTTTGAAAAGCAAAACTAAGCTAAAATAATAATAATAATAATAATAATAATAATAATTATTATTATTATTATTATTATTATTATTATTATTTATTATTATTATTATTATTATTATTATTATTATTATTATTATTATTATTATTAAAACATATGGGCTGAGCAGATGTGTGTCTTACAGCAAAGCTTAAAGAATAGGTATGTAATAAAGTTGTAATTTCTTAAAACATTATTTTATCAGTGGCACAATATCCCGTAAATTGGAAATAAAAAAAAATCGATACGGCGTTTCGGTCCCTTTTCGAGTAATTTCATTCCCGAAAATGGTCCAGGGCGGACCGAAACGTTGTAGCGTTTATTTTTAAAATGTGGATTACTTGTGATATGTTGCAAATACTGTGGGTTAGTTGTGAGTTGTTGCAGCTGTGGTATTATGGGTTAGTTGAGATTAGTTGTGTATTATTGCAGCTATGGAACTGCAACTCTCATTCTTCACTATAAAGGTTCACTACAAAGGTTCTCACCGTTAGCGTCGTGGCCCAGACTGAGGGGCCCCGGGGGCGCAACGATGCCCTCGTGGAGAGCCTCCTGCTCATAGAGGCGGTGAAGAGCGGCGACGCAGCGCAGTGTGAGGCGGCCGTCGGGAAAGTGCCAGTCCCGCGCCCGGAAGTGCAGCCCAAGACGTGACGCCACCCGTCCCTCTGTGTCGGGAGGATCCTTGTATTCCACCAGGTAGTCGTGCGGCGCCTACGTCAGTCCACGGAGAGAGGGTTGAGGGAGAAAGAAACCTGTTACTGTCTTTTTTTATACAATTAAATTGTCGGACTATCTCAGCTTATTTCAAAGCCCAGCCTTATCCAGGATGTTACCCGCAATAGCTACCTATTTACTGCTTGGTGTATAGGGGCAGTATAATTTCTGCCCTCACATAGAATCAAACTTGGGTCCTTTTGACTGTAAGCCTAGATTCCTCCCAATGAGAAACAAATATCTTTGTTGAAGATTGAGACACTTATGCAACATATGGGAATTTTTATTGAGGAAACGTTTCGCCACACAGTGGCTTCATCAGTCCAATACAAATCAGAAGGGTGTAAGGAGAGGAGGAGTTTGAGGTAATCAGTCCCTCAGCCTGGAGTCGATGTGTTCAGTCCATCAATTGCCTGACCTGCGGAACCTCACGTGTATACTATTGCATTGTGTTGCATTTCATGGAGCTCTGATCTCGAGCATGTCCTTCAGCTAAAGGAGTGGCGGAGGCTCGAGTCTTCACCCAATACTCGCAGTCCGGTCTTTGACTAGTCTGGCTGTTGGCGATCCTAGTAGTCTGACTAGCCTTTGTTTAGGTTCCAGAGAGAAGTTCTTACCATGATTGTGGAGAAAAATCTCCATTTTATGAAGGGGACGATATCCATCCCCTTCTTGAAAGGAAAATAATGACTCTCTCCAAAGAAGATAGCCCTCTCAGAAAGGGCTAGCCATCTCAGAAGCTGTGAACCGTCTTACTTCCCTGTTTCCATACTAGACTAATCAAGAATATATGATAGACAAAGCGTCGCCAGGCCACGCCTCTTTTTACCAAACTTCCTGGCCACTTGTACATACGAGTGGAAATCTATGGGAGCTGCTATTTCCCCATAGCAGGAAAAGTTCGTGAAAAATTGCGCCCCACTTGTTCTAAAAGCTAGGGTATTGTGGCTCATTAAACCTGCCTAGGATACCAATAAACAGGGATTCTAGGATGAAGTCTGTTGCAAAAGCTAGCAGTGAAAGTCTATGAAGCTGAAGTCAGCATTTCCTTTGTGGGACGAGGACCGAGGTGCTCAACAGGGTCAGAGTGCGACAAGGGACCGAGGCGTGAGTGACGCAGACGGCATCGCTGCCCTCTCGCAGTGACCAGTGCGTTCTTGACTCTTGTTCATATTGATAGCCTCAGGAAAACTAGAAAGTTGACTAGTTTCCCCTTATATGAGTAAGGAAATTCGTGGTAGAACTAATTACGGTATATAGTGTTCATTAGTGTCTCCATGTCTCTTTCTCACGTGAACATTGGGAGAACTGAGGTGAGGTGCAGTGTTATTTAACTTTCTCTCTATTGTGGATAATTCCACGAAACTCATGAACAAGTGATGGTATTGAACGACGGCGAAGTACCCAGTGACGCGAGTTCGATAGAGACATCATTAACGGCCTCGTGTTGCTACAACGGCACAACACTCCAGTTACAATGAGTCCGGCAGGCTTTATTCCTTTTCATTTTCCCCTTTCAAACATTGCAGTGTTTAGGCTAATGTTAGAAAGAATATTTCCCACCTTAGAGACCGTCATTAGAATGCCATCACCCAAACCCACTTGAGTATCCTATCGGATTCCAGGTAAATCTGACATACTGGAATACATACAATGGATCAGAGTTAACCCAGATTTCTCGCTATCCCCAGCCAATTCGGACACAGCTGCAGCAACATCGAGGGCGTTTCCAGGAAGAGGCTACTGGAAATCGTGCTGTTAAAAGATAAGTACCTATCATTGTTAACATTTTTTTATCGTTATGCAGGAAAGTGTACTATCTAAGAAGTTTCTCCACAATGATGCAAGATTTACCATCTACGATCCTATATTGGTTTTCTATTTCGAAATCATTTTGCTAGAGACGATCAACCAGCCTTTCCTATTCGTTAACTTATAAGGTATGCTTATTTGGTATACTGATCAGTAATAAAGGCCTCGTCTTCTGTTTCACTCTCTTATGTGGGATTCAATAAATATTCATTACTCAAAATGTTGTCCTGTCTTATCAAATAACATTTTTTTTCCAGTCCATTTCTCTTAGAAGTCCCAGTTACTTTAGTATTCATCTTTTCTCTGCCAATTATCATTCTGTTTTATGAACACCTTGAGTTCTCCCAGTGAGTTGGTCGTCGTGCATCTTCGGTTTGATTACATGAATGCTGAATACATGCCCACAATCAGTTTCCGTAAGTTAAAGTGTGTGTGTGTGTGTGTGTGTGTGTGTGTGTGTGTGTGTGTGTGTACTCACCTACTCACCTATATGTGGTTGCAGGGGTCGAGTCATAGCTCCTAGCCCCACCTCTTCACTGGTCAATACTAATTCACTCTCTCTCTGCTCCATGATATTTGTCATACCTCTTCTTAAAGCTATTTATGGACTTGCTTCCACTACTTCACTCTCCAGATTATTCCAGTTCCTGACAACTCTAAGGCTAAAGAAATACTTCCTAACATCCCTATGACTCATCTGGGTTTTCAGTTTCCAATTGTGTCCCCTTGTTTCTGTATCCCATCTCTGAAACATTCGATCCTTGTCCACCTTGTCAATGCCTCTTAGTATTTTATACGTTGTTATCATGTTCTCTCTATCCCTCCTATCCTCTAGTGTCATCAGGTTGAGTTCCCTTAACCTCTCCTCATAAGACATACCCCTCAGTTCCGGGGCTAATCGTGTTGCAAATTTGTGTACTTTCTCCAATTTCGTGACGTGTTTGACTAAGTGAGGGTTCCATACTGGCGCTGCATATTCCAGTATACGCCTTACGTACACTGTGTACAATGTCGTGAATGACTCCTTACTCAGATGTCTAAACGCCAATCTCAGGTTTGCCAATCTCCCATATGCTGCAGCAGTTATTTGATTGATGTGTGCCTCAGGGGACATGTTCGTTATAATGCTTACCCCAAGATCTTTTTCTTTAACTGACGTTTGCAGCTGTTGGTTTCCTAACCTGTACTCCGTCTGCGGTCTTCTGTGTCCTTCCCCAGTCTTCATGACCTTACACTTACTGGGGTTAAACTCCAGGAGCCATTTGTCGGACCATACTTGTAGTTTGTCCAGATCCCCTTGTAATCTTAACTGATCCTCTCCCACTAGTATTCTCCTCATCAGTTTCACATCATCAGCGAACAGTGACACTTCTGAATCTATTCCTTCCACCATGTCATTCACGTATACAAGAAACAGCACCGGGCCTAGGACTGAACCTTGTGGAACCCCACTCGACACATTCGCCCACTCCGACACTTCATCACGTACCAACACACGTTGTTTCCTTCCTGTCAGGTATTCCCTGATCCATTGCAGTACTTTCCCCATTATTCGTGCCTGCTCCTCTAATTTTTGCACCAGTCTCTTGTGTGGTACTGTGTCAAAAGCCTTCTTGCAATCTAAAAAGATGCAATCTACACATCCCTCTCTCTCCTGTTTTACTTCTGTTACCTTATAGTAGAACTCAAGTAAATTTGTGAAACAGGATTTCCCATCTCTGAAGCCGTGCTGACTGTCATGTATGAGCCCAATCTTTTCAATGTGTTCCACTACTTTTCTCCTGATAATCCTTTCCATGAATTTACATGCTATACAAGTCAGTGACACTGGTCTGTAGTTTAATGTTGCCTGCCTGTCCCCTTTCTTAAAAACTGGAACTACAAGTGCTGTCTTCCACGCCTCAGGAAACTGCCCTGTTTCGAAAGGTTTACTGAAGATTGCTGCTAATAGCACACACAGTTCCTCTGCTCCCTCTCTCAGTATCCATGGAGATATGTTATCTGGGCCCACCGCCTTTGAGGTATCGAGTTCGTCTAGCAGTTTCTTCTCCTCTACCTTGGTTATGTGTATTGTGTCCAGTGCCTGCTGGTGCACCCTACCTCCACAGTTTGCTGGAAGCATTCCTGACTCTATTGTGAATACTTCTCTAAATCTTTTGTTTAGTTCATCACATACTTCTTGGTCACTCTTCGTGAGCTCCCCTCCTTCTTTCCTCAGTCTGATTACCTGGTCCTTGACCGTTGTTTTTCTCCTAATGTGACTATATAACAACTTTGTCGTTCTCATATTGCCTCTGGGCCTCTCTCCTTATCCTTGCATATTCGTTTCTGGTTCTTCTGCTCAGCTCCTTGTTTTCTTGAGTCCTTTGCCTTCTATACATTTTTCATGCTCTAGCACACTTGGCTTTGGCCTCTTTACACCTCCAATTAAACCATGGGCTCACTCTGGTCTTACCATTTTTTTCTGTTGCCCTTTGGTATGAACCTTTCCTCTACCTCTCTGCACTTAATGGTTATTATTTCCATCATTTCATTTACTGTTTTTCCATCTAGTTCTCTTTCCCACTGCACTTCATGCAGGAAACTTCTCATTCCTATGTAGTCCCCTTTTTTGAAGTTTGGTTTCTCTCTTTGTTCTCGTGCTGCTGCATTCTCCACTGTTAACTCGACAAGATATTCAAAACTCAGGACATCATGATCACTAGCGCCAAGGGGTCTTTCATGGGTGATATCCCTTATGTCCGAACTATTCAAGGTGAATATGAGATCCAGCCTTGCTGCAACATCCTCTCCTCTCTCTCTGGTTGTATCCCTAACATGTTGATGCATGAAGTTCTCTAATACAGACTCCAACATCTTAGCCCTCCATGTTTCTGGTCCCCCATGTGGCTCTAGGTTTTCCCAGTCAATCTCTTTATGATTGAAATCCCCCATTATAAGCAATTTTGTCCTACCCATATGAGCCCTCCAGGCCACTTCAGCTAGTGTATCCACCATTGCCCTATTGCGCACATCATACTCTTCTCTTGTTCTCCTGCTGTTAAGTGGTGGGTTATACATCACTGCTATCATCACCTTTGGACCACCAGTCTGAAGTGTTCCTACAATGAAGTCGTCTGTTTCCCTTATTTCCATTCCTCCCATCTCCTCAAAACTCCACTGTTTTTTTTATGAGCAATGCTACT